GAGATGAGACTGCAACAGCACTGACACAGAATGGCTTAATAAAATGCTACAGAGACACAATCTTTGTAGAGACAGTGCCTGCATGAAGTCCTGCTTCCTTTGAAGCTAAGGGCAAGATGGAAACAGATTCATTCACACCCTGAAAACATTCGTCCCATCTTTAACCCTATTTCCTTTCCACACTGTGTACGTAACCTTGGGGATTCAAAACCTGCAGATATTCGTGTGCACACACAGGCTTTATGTCTACTGGCAGAGCCACCCTCTACATCTGAAATCATTTCCAAGGCCCACTGGCTATTCCTACGGATTGGAAGGGCAAAGAGGGATAGAATTAATGGAAAAGGATAAGTAAAAACATATCAGGAAAGCATTGGGAATATGTCAAAGGTAATCAAGCTGATGTTGTGCTTTACGGGACCCTTGTCATGCTAGATACTTATTGCTCTGTGCTTTGATATGGGCAAAGGTGTAAACTCTGCTCTGTTGCAGTCTGCATCAACCATACCAGGAGATGGTTGGTTTCTGCCACCAGAACTGAAAGCACGAGTCAGCCCTGGAGTTTACATGCTTTTTAAGCCATTTTAACCCTTATAATTGGGGCAGGTAAATGCAGGCACAGTATCTGATGCCCAGTTGTCACACAGTGACACCACCACCAGGGAAAGGTTCTGTGTAGATCCTGACACTTGTGAGAGACGACGGGGTGAGCTATCCTCTCTGGTGAACTCGGCAGGCTGAGGGCAGGTGGTTAAGAAGTGAGCGAAGGCACTAGCAGCCAGCTGGCCAGAGGCCATTGCTCGGCTCTGGGGTCAGGATGGTATTTGATGCTTTGACACGCCTTAGAGCTGCAGTTCCAATCTCTGCCCCACAGGTTACTTGCTGACTAGGAGACTATTTTCCTTCCAGCACTGTATTTTGCTTTTCACAGATGCAGGCTCCCTCAGGTTGGTGGGAAAGAGCAAAGCTTGATGTAGTCAGTATCTTACTGTCCACCACAGTCTAGAAAAAACTGTGAATCATTCTCTGAATTTGTTTGTCCATATTGCTTGTTCAGTGCCTGAAATTTGTTCTACAGCAGCAATCTTGTGCCCTGTGGAAGATTATGACTGTCCCAGGTAAAAGGGAAACCTTCAGGTGGTGAGAGGTGGGAAGGAGCTCTTCTAGAGTAGGGCAGGACAGCTGTGCTTGCCACAGATGTTCCTCGTTTTAAGAACGAAGAAGGAAAATAATATAAAATTGACTATTCCTTGATTTCCCCTGTGTCTTTGCTTGATGTCATGCCTGAGGGCATAAATGTCTTCAATATAAAAAAATATATTGCAGCTCTCCAGGTGATGGCCCTGGGCCACAGCCTGAGAAACAGTGGCATTGTCTGCTTCCCAGAGAAAATTCTCTGAGGTGCCTTCCTTGCTTTTCTCCTCTCCCTCACCCTCCCCCAGGGCTCTCTAACTGTCTGGCTGCTTCCCTGTGACATTTCAGTCCTGAAGGAAGTCAGGCTGAAAGCCTCTCTCACCAGTTCACGGGAAAGTAACGTTGACTTCTGGAAACAGAATGAAATAAGGAATGTCAGAGGTCTGTGTTGGCTTCTGCGAGCACAGAACCTCTCCCCAGGGCATTCCCACCTACATGGAAACCTGTGGTGATTCTTCAGGACTTTACATTCCCAGACACTGGCAGCAGTCTCATACACTAGCTAAAGCAAGAAAGCCCTTAGCAATGCCACAACCCTTTGGGCTCTAGGAGCAGTCCTCATTGGAATGGAGGCCCAAGAGCTCCTCAGCCAAGCTGATGAGACCATTTTCTTCCAGGGCTGCGATCAGCCGCGCTATTGTGGCCTTCTTCCCTTCTGACTGGATAAATCTGAGAAGCAGTTGATAGGCTTGTTCATATAGTCCCTCTCGGTCATATTCAAGAGCCAGGTTATCAATGACAGGATCACGCAGGGCCCGGCAGGTCTTCTGCAAAGAACGACCCACTTGCTTCCATTTCTTGGACACGAGCTTGGCAAATTTCTGGTGGTCGTCTGGCGTGAGCGTTCTGTTGGCTGAAAAGGACAGAGAGCAGGTAAAACAGAGGTTTCATGGCTGATGTGATGCAGCTTGGGCCAGTCCAAGGTTTGTTCAGTATTCTGAGGAGCAGGGAGTCTGTTTGGTGTCCACAGGGTGTTATTAAACAGCTGTGGAGCTGCTCTGCTTATGCTCTGCTGTTTTTACACCAGGGCAGCACTGTGAGTTTGGAGAAGTGCAGGAGCAGTGAAGCTAAAGGGACTGCCCTGCCATGGGTAGGGGGTCATGCACACGCGTCTGTGTGCTCCGACGGCATTCATCTGCAATAAGGTGGAGAAAGCCTCACTGCTCTCTGTGTATGAGCTGGACGTGCCTGCTCTCCACGCAGTCTGCCATCCCCCAGGGCAGTGCTGGTGCCTCGGGTGGCAAAGTGTAGCACGTGGTGACACGCTTACCTGCGCACAGCCATCTGCCCTGGCACATCCAAGCTCCCTGCCTTGCTCAGGCCGTTCCCTTACTGAAATCCTCCCACAACATCAGAGTATCTGGGTTTGCCTCCACCCTGCAAGCTTGGCAATGCCTAATTTCCCTTTTTTTTTTTCTTTTTTTCTTTTCTCCCCCAGGATAGGGTTGTCCTGTGGTTTGCTAGACCTTGTGGGTTTTTTTTCTGATGGACATCCTCTTTATTTGTTTCAGCCTTTCAAAAGCAACTCGGCAAGGCCTTTCTGACCAAGTCCCCTCCTCCCTACCTAAGCATCCTCAAAATACTGAAACGCAGACAGGAGCTCTCTCCTTGGCTGTTTAGCACTGGAGACTGTATACACAGCTTAAGCGCGCTCAGAAATGATCCAGCTGACCTCAAGCTAAAATTGCTATGTGAGACTGTCTGAAAGCTCTCTACAGGGGACAGACCCCAAAGACACTGGTGTCCATAATAACCTTCTCAGTCTGATCCAACCTATGCTATTAACTCACCTCAACCAAATGACATGGAGGAAGGGAAAATTACTCTGTATTCTTCCTTTCAGTATTACAGAGTTTTAAAAATGTGAGGAACCTGGAAGGCACACAGACTCTGAAGCATCTGGTTCTGTGCCACCCCAGAAAAGAAAACAGGTTGATGACTGATCTGAAGCAGTACAGCAGTATCTTAGGACTGCTGTGATTCCTTCCTTATGGGATGCTGGGAAATCCTTGATGTATCTAAGGTAGACCCCAATATGTAGTCACATTAATCCTCCCTCTTGGGCTTTGAGGCAAGGAAGACCAAGGGCTGTCTTGGTCAGTTCTAGCTACTCACCGAACTCTTGTCCCTGAAAGATGAAGGTGACTTCTGGGGAAAGGGACCTGCCTCGAGAAGGATAAGGTAGAGATGGGGAGTTGAGAGACGCGCAGTCTTTTACAGCCATATTGTTGTTGAAGCTGTGGTGAACAATCAGGCTCTTGAGGCATTCCTCCAGCTCTGTGATCTCCTCATCCCGCAGGCGGTCAGGCTGTAATGCAAACAGCATCTGTGATTCGTGCCAGGTTCACCATCTTGCAAAGCCGTAGATGCTTAGCTGGAAGGTGCAGCTTAAGGTGATGGTGTCAGGAGAGGAGCAATGAGATGATAGCTACAGCACAAGTTGTGAACTCACCAGATGAGATAGTCTAATGGAGTTCTAGCTGTAAATGCGTGAATTTGAATCTGTAATGTGATAGGAAATAGGCAATCTCCCCCTCCTGGGTTTCTCACAGGCAGCAGTGAATGCTTACAAGTTGCACGAACCTGCTACTAGTCCATGTTTAATTTCAGCTGCCCTCTGCAAGAACTAGGGTGCACCATAGGCAGCGTGGCTTCTCTGACTTACTCCAGATGACGGTCAGACCCACAGAATAGGGTAACCTGATCAAACAGCTCATGGCCACCAAAGCAGGCAGCTCCTGTTATTCTCCTTCTCTCTCTGCCCCTCCATTACCTAAATTTTGTTGTTCCTGGATCCCCTCCAAGCCAGTTTTTCTCGCTAACCAAGAGAAAACTAGTCTGACCTCCAAAAAGCAGGTAATAAGAAAAGGAGTGAAGAAGGCAAAGCACATGGGAAGAGCCAAACGTGGCGAGTGCTCTGACTCAGTCTAGTGCTTAGCTCACGTACAGCAGGTACCCAGCACTGCCCTCAGCCGCTGACGCCTGTGCCCTCGTGTCATCTTTCTGAGTGGTGCACTGTTAGGCAGAGGTCAGACTGAGTCAGTTTTGGGGAACTGAGAATAAGCCCCCCTCTTTTGTCCAGTCAGCTAGTTGAGCAGAGGGAGTGAGCAGCAAGCAGAAGTTGACAGGCTATGGGATATCACATGTTTGGTCTAGGGCTGAAAGGTTTGCATTTCATTCTCTGTGCTTGCAGAAAAGCAACCTGGCAAAACGTGCTCTTCTGCCTCATCTTCCCGAGTAGCTAGTGACTACCTGTTTCTCAGGACCATCTAGAGGGAACCAGAGCTATAAGGTATTGCTAATTCCAGGTGGAAAAAAGAGGAGAGGAGAAAGGCAATGAGTTTAAGCCTTGGTTTTGTGGTGAGAGGACAAGATCTCACTGTTCTTGCTAGCAGGATTAGAGTGCCAGTGCCAAAATGTGATGAGCTAGACGTTAGCTATCACCACCAAGAGAGAGACTTTGCCTTCAGAACGGCAGCCTATTCCTGG